CTTTGGTGTGGGTACCGGGGCATTGGATATTGTGCAACATATACCCCGACTTTCAAGATACTTTGCAAATGGACCTGGACATTGTCCACTCTCATCAATTTTACCATAATATTCACCACCTTTATCAGATCTCACCACTTTTACTTTTCTATCTAATTGTCTTTCACCTCATTTATGAACACCTCAAGGGCGTTCACTGATTGAGATTTTTCATGTAATAGATATATATGATAATAACGTGAGAAATCATCAATAAAGGAGATAAAATATTTTTCACCACTCCAAGATTTAATGTCAAAATGACCACAAATATCAGTGTGTATTAACTCAAGAAGTTGACTACTTCTTGTGGTGGGATATTTTGATATGTGTTTTGTTTGTTTATCCTTAATACAATCAATACATACATACCAGTCATCAAAATCCAATTGAGGTAAAATTTCATTTTTTACTAACCTCAACATCCTTTCCTTGGATATGTGACCCAATTTTTTATGCCATAAGAAAGCAGAACATTCTTTTACTGCACCACAATTTCTATCAACAACATGTTCAACATTAAACAAGGATTCAGAAAAATTAACATCAAGATTTAAACGATATAAACCATCCAATAATGTACCAAAACCATAATAGTACGAAAGTTTATACAAATGAAAAATACCATTTTCAATCTCAAAGTTAAAACCTAAATAATCCAACTTTACAATAGAAATTAAATTCCTAGCACAACCAGGAACATAGAGACACTTTTCAGATTCAGGGACTATGCCAGTGTCTAGAATCAATCTGTAAAGTCCCAGGTCATTTATTCGGCCTTTCATTGTTCCCCATATATAAATTACTTTTCAGTTCCTTTATGGGCGAATTGAACAGGAATCCCTGCATAATATTAGAAAACAGAGTAGTAGCTCCAGAATCCAAACCCACCAGGTATTATTAGGCACTCAATTTATTGCTTCAAAAACTTACAAAAACATAAAAAGTTACCTTTCTTTTCAAACCAAGATTTTCTTTTCGGGACAATTTTCGTGAAGTGACCTAACTTTCTTACCAAAAGAAGAAAATTTCTGGTCCTTCTGGATATTGCCCTTATTCACGTCATTGGGGCTTTGTCCTCTGTTCGCTTCCTGATGTGGCTTTACTGAAGCTAGCACCTTCATGAGTTGTGAGATGGATAGAATGATCTTTCATTTTCTTCAATCTCCATTCCTCTGTATTCAAAATGGCTTTAATTTCTGGAAAGTTTCCATTTGTCTTTAAGAATGTTATAGTTTCACTGGAACTGGCCAAATTCAGGGAGGAGAAGAGGGAGTTCATGATGAATTGTACTAGAAAAGATCATTTCCCCTCCCATCCCATAACTTCAATCTGCTGCTTATATTTGCCATTCCAGGTAACATTGGTCATGTATGGGCTGCGGGACAGTCAACACTTTTGGTAGTCAGTCACTCATAAAGTTCCTACAATTAGACTTGTGTCAGTTATGTATGATTTGGAGTACCCTTGATCAGTTTCATTGTGAATTCCTTTGATTTTCCGTTTTTTTAGGCATAGAAGGCTTTACATTCTCTGGCCATAGACATAGGACATGCCCATCAAGTTTAGTGACAAGGCCTGTTAGACCTATGCCAAAGCCTCATGAAGAGAATTCTCATCACTATGTTTACTAGTCACTGTATGGTTTCGGGCATTCATCCATCATAATTGCCAGTACAAGTCTAACACACCCAGTGGACTGGATGTGTTATGGGACCAATCAGCATTTTAATTTGATTGAGCCCATTAACTGACCACAGTTGTTGCTCAAAACCTGATAAATTCATGTAAGAGCTGGAAAAAATAATACAGGCAGCTCATACATTAATGCTTTGATTTTATAAAATTAATGGATTCAAAACAAATTAATATATACGTCAACATCAAGTTCACCTTTGGGTTGACACGAAACTGATAGGTAATCTTTTAAGTATTCATTTAAGTTCACCCGTTGGGTGGATACTTAAACTGACAAATTCCATATTAACTTTAATAAACAATCAATCATACTTTAAGTCTATATGATGTTATCTTTGGATATCACAAACATATTTATAAGTACATGAATTGTCTACTTTAAGGTCATCAATTATAAAAAATGGTTCAACTTTGGGTAATCCTAACACCCCTATATCAATGGCTATAACTATATATATATATAATATAGATAATTCATAATTTAACATCCTTTATATTATGAATAATTTCACAAATAACATGAGGCAATTAAAAGAACAACGAATTGCCCTAAAACTTTTTAATTTTGATTAGAATTATAACTCATCGAAATTCACCTTAATTGAATTCCTTCGTCCAAGATTAATAAACAAGTACATATTAATTCATAAAACAAAAATGATTATCATGACATGTCAGTTGATACACTTTTCAAATAAAAGTATTTGAAACCTTCAAACGGTAATTCACATTTAATTTTGATTCAGTACAGTAAGAGTAACCATGTTTAAAATATAAATAATATAAAGCTTGCAATAGTAAATTGCTTTACTGTGGAGAAACAAGTGCCGCAAACAGTAAAGTTGCGGTATGCCAAAATATAAAAAAAAAAACCCGCTGGCTGGGAGTTATGAAAACACTAAATTTGCTTTAATATAATAATGGAATAAAAGTTGCTCTAAATTGAATTGAAAAAGTAAACAAAAATTGCGGCTTCTAGGGTGAATGAAATTCACGTTCCAGTGAATTCAAATAATCATGTAATAGTAAAAAAAAAAAATTGCTTTACTGCTTTTCAATTGGCTTTCTTTTTCAATTCAATTAGAATTGACATTTACGGCATCTAGATGATTTCATGTAATTGACTTTGTTTTTCTTAATTGGCTTTCTTTTAAAATTCCTAATTTTATAATTCAAAAATTAGGGTTTCACAAAATTGAGAAAATTACCATTCATAGAGAATCATAAAATTCAGAACCTGACTCTGATACCACTTATAAGCAATTCTTTAATTTTCAATTGAATGAAAAACACACACAGAAGAATCTTGAATTTTCATGATACTCACTATTCTCTCAACACAGTAGAAAAAATTACCTGGATCCATTGTACCGTTTCTTCTTGTCAAACGTTCTCTCTTCTCTTACTTCACTTTAATGCTTTCTTGATGATATAGAAATTCTGAGGGATGTCACAGTATCTTTTCTTTTCCAGAGAATGTAACCTTTCTTTCTCTCTTTTCAGAAACTTAACCAGTCCACCGTAGTCTCATCTTTTTCCCTCTTTTATGATATTTAATTAACTTTAATAAAATACCAAAATGTCCTTTATTGAAGTGAGAAGAAAGGGATTAATTTTAATAACTCTAAAATAATGCCTATAACTTTAAACATTATATTCTAATAATCATCACATTAGAATCTGTACATCAAAGTTATACTTTAAATTACATGAACCAATCTTAAATATTAATATAATTTAACAAAGTCATTTCAGTAGAGGTTACACTAACAATCTTAAGTAAAGGTTATCCTAAACTTGTTAATTTTGTGTGTTATTTATCAATCAATACCATGTTAAAAGAATTCAATAATTTCACTACATCAGGGTATGTCCAAATATATCTGTCACCACATTTATACTCTCATTAAACCTACACAAACGAATATCCATGTCTCGCTCAAGTAACATAATTAGTTATGACATTTCAGTTATCTGACCTCAATTCATTTTACAATATGTATACCTTGCATTATGTACTTGTTTTATAGTTGTCACATTTTTTTATTATGTTCCTTCAATTGTTAATGGAATATTTCTAGGTTTGACTAAATTATCTGTCATATGAGCAAGTATCAACTTCTCATTATGTGTGAAGTTACCAAACATATAGATAATATACTAAGGATTTATCAAGTCGTGACTATGAGAGGCACAAAACAATTTTACAATCCATCATTCCCTACCTTATACAGACTTCCTCAAAACTTAAAATGACACTCACATTTTATTATTATCAGTAGTAGTTGCTTCTAAGTCTTTTTTATATTGTTTCTATTATCACTTATTTCATAATCTAATAATACACACATCTTCTTTCCTCATTGTCCATTTATTTTATCAAGTCACTCCACCAAACTTAAATATTCAAATTAATTTTATTTTCTAAGTGTAATGATTTGATATATAAATTCTAACAGAAGCTAGTATTAGTCTAACGGAAATGATCTAATTAAATTATTTTTAAAAATTAAAAAACTAAATTAAACCAAATCAAAATTAGAAATCTAAGTGAATTTTTTATAAAAGTAGAATAAAAAAATATTTTTAGCCTTAAAAAAAACTCCATTAATGCTACCCATTAATACCTTTTACACCCACCTAAAGCTAACGAACTTTAAATCACTACAAAACTTACCTGAATCCCTGAGCTGTAGCAGGAAACAACAAAAAAGTTCGCAATGGGTGTAAAAAAAAACACCCAAAAGCAAACGAATCAAACGGAGAAGACACACGAAAAATAAATTATGAAGAGCAGAAGGGTCATTTCAAACGTTAGGGAGTGCAAATTGTAGTTTTGTGGATGTACAAAGAAAAAAACCCAAGAAGGGCACGTTGACGGGTCCATTGTTAAAAAACCAATAGATTTCAAATACTGAATTAGGGTTTGGTGTTCTCTCTTATAAAAGCGACCTCGCCAACCCTGTTCTCCCATCGATTTCTTTTCACACATATTTCTCAGTTTCTTTGTTTTCTCAGTTTCTTTGTTTTCTGATTTCTGTGCATTTGTTTCTTATGCTGTTTCGGATTATTTAAACGGAGGACTGAAATTTTCGGGCTGTGATGAGTTCTAGAGAAAGTCATGCACCACTCTGATTATTCAGTGCTGATAAGTTTCTCAACCCATTCCATCTGAGCCCTTTTTTCTCTAAAGACCACTAATTTGGTTATTATGTCAAATTAAGTGTTTGGGTTTTTGCCTTGTTGTGTGTTAATTGTTTGATTGGGATTCAAATTGGATAAGGGAACCGTGTGATGGGGTTTCTTAACCTAGCCATGATGCATGCGGACCGTACAGCATTTATAGCTATTGGGGATACAATTTGGTTTCTGATGGTTCCCTGTTCATTCTTAATTCATTATTTAGGGTTTCTATTTTACTCTATCATCGTTTTCTAGAAATGCATCTAAAATCTGGGTTTGAAATTTAATGATTTACAGTAAAATCTTTGAACTGATTTCATCTTAACCTTTGAACTGATTTCATCTTAACCATTCAAAATCTGGGTTTGAAATTCTGTTTTATCTCTCTAAAAATAGAACAACTATTTTTCTTTGTAACATGCATGGCTTCTTCTTAATTACTTTCTTTCTCCCTTCCACATGTTTAATAATTCTGTCTTAAATTTCATGATGACAATACTTCTAACTCCGTTTGTTTTGTTTAAAATTAAACTTAAATTAGATTTTGAAATTTAATGATTTCTAAGGCTAATTTAATGATTTTTTCTGATCAAAACTTTAAATAAACCGGTTTTCTCACTTATAAACAAAGTCGCTGACAAACTTACTAAATTGAATTGTCTGCCAACTAAATTTAAGAATATTTGAAATTAAGTGAATGGATATGATATATTAATATTTTTCATACATCAAATTTGCAATTTCATGATTTAAAATTATCTAATCTTACAATTTAAAATTACATAAAAATAATCTTGGCATAACGGATCAATATACATAAATTTCTTCTAAAAATTTCATGCATCTAAAATCTCAATTTAAAATTAAATTAATATAACAACAATCCACATTTCGTATCCACAATTTGATATTTAAGTGGCATAAAATTCTTGTGAAAATTTCGTACACTAATATGCATAAACTTTGTGCAAATTTCATAAATTTAAATTTAGAATTTTATGATTTAAAATTATTGTCACAATTTAAAATTACATTATAGTAATATCCTATTTTTAATGGCTTACCACTGTAAAAAAATTATAACATTATAAAATGAATAAAATAAAATAGATGGTTGAATATATATATATATATATATATAT